CTTAAATATTCAGGTGAGCGATACAGGCCCTCTGGGCCTCTTGTTCTAACACCACTTTCCTATTCTTTCGTCTTTCCATCTTCAGCATGTCAGCTAAATCTCGCAGGATCTTGTCGTGTCTCCATGCGTATTGTCCATGTGTCAGAGCGATATTATAGAATGAAAACACTTGGGATATGTTACCTTGTTGACCATACAGTGGACAGTTGGGGCTTTGCGTCAGTCCCCATCGGTGTAGGTTTGTTTAAACTCGTACACCGATTGTAGGAGGAACTGGATCCTGCATGGTTCTAGTTTCCAGATGTTTTGACCACGTACATAGTCGTCTGTCTTTGGTCTCCCATCTAGTCCATGCACCTTATTCTCCAATCTCCACTACTTTCGCTTCCTGATCTCCTTCCCCATCTTTCTAATATGCCTTGCACCATTTTCCTCCTACCAACTGTATCAGCTGTTTCCCACCGTTGTGCATGTGATGTTCCAAGTCCTTGCCTACCGACACATGTTGTCCTAACAATGTCGCTGTGTCGCAATCTGATTTCTACCTGCTGGACGGCGGTGCTTGCCAACTACTTCCGTCCTGTTCTAGTTTCGATCCCTGCACTCCTGATCTTCTGGCCTTTGTAATCCCTAACAGGCATCACCAATGGGAGCTGCAGGCGAGGAAGAAGTCGATAGTGTTGATAAATCCATGCTTTGAGTTTTCCTGGCAGTCATGTTTTGTCTATTTTTTCCAAGCCCTCCACCTAGTTTTTCAGCCGTTTGATGTCCTTGCTGTCTTTCAAGCTTGCGTCAAACCATTTCTCCAAGCACTTGATCGGATCGTCAACTATCGTTGGAATCTCTTCATGCTGGACCAAACTTCTTGATTTCCTTGTTTTGAACTTCATTCTAGCCCACTCCACTGTATCCTCTAGAACTGGCAATATCCACCGTGTCTGCACCTGTGTTGTGGTTGTTATGGTCATGTCATCCATAAAGTCCCTGTTCCGTGGTAGTCTCATTCCTGACGATGTTTTGGGTCCTCTGGTTTCTCTGTCTGCTGCCAAGTAGTCTACCCAATCCTGTTGTGTTAATTTGGTTTCCATGAAATAATAAGCTGAAACGTTAGGGGGAAAATGTCTGCACACATTGATATTGGCAAGTCTTGGGCTAAGTTTATGTTTACAAAGCTCGCTTAATGTAATAGTGCTAATACATTTGATTGAAAATATTGTAACTCACCGTTAACTCACCGTTGTCGACGTCTTACCAAAAGTCTACGACTACTATTGACGCATCTACTGGCAGGTTCAGAAAAATATTGTTTTGGAACAACATCCTAATAAGATTCATAATGATGGCAAAAATGGATAAAATGGTGGAAATTGCCTAAACCTTGATAATTTCTTAGTTATTTTTTTATTACTATAGATTCTTTTAAATTATTTATCTCCATTGCATCAACCATCTGCACTTTTTATGAGTTATCTTTATCATAAATCTTACATAATTATATCAATAAGACCTTTACTCGGAAAGACTGACATTTCTATTTGTCTGTCTGTTGGATTATTTCTGTCTGTATGGTTTTTGTGTATGTCAGTCTTTTATTCAGTATTTCCAGTATTTTATTTTATTACCTTAAGGATGTACTCCTCTGAGGTTTCAATCACGTTCAAGTCTCGTTTTGATCTGGTGTAATAGGTTTTTGTAATATTTAACAAATTACGATCAAGTTTATTAGCATACACGCACCTGAAAAAGATGTCAAAAAACTAGATGCCTGTTGTTTGTAGAACTTTTTTTACAAGGATTTAAAAGAATTACCAATTCGGCGGCCATTTTGAAAATGTGTATTAATGTGTATTTCTTGCTCTTCAAAAAAGGCCAAAATTTCACCTTTTTTGACACTAGATTGATCACTTAAATTGTCATTGTGTCGCCATTTTTAATTGTAGCAGGTTCAATTTTGCTGTACAACTTTATAATGTTCAATTTGATAAAAATAATATGCATGAAACTGGAAAAGTATACATTATTTATATTTTTTTACGTACTTAGTGTTACGGAAGCACTTTTGATTTTTGACCCCGAAAAAGGTAAAAAATAACACAAATGATAATGGGACAAAAAAAGAAGCACACTGGCCCCCCATTTTTGTAGATGTTTTAGAAAGAGAAACACATTTTCATTTCATTCATTAAATATTAAAAAAAGTTTAATACCAGAACTTTTTCTATCAAGCGTTTTATCTGCAGAATATTGGTAAAAAATGAGTATTTTTTCATTAAAAAATAGGGGGTAGGGGTAACTAAAATCGGCTTTCTGAGTTAAAAGCATAAGATTAAGAAATTTTACTTCCATAAATTAAAAGAAAATAATATTTTCATCAATTCTACAAACATTCATACATATCTGATAACACACTTGGAAAAAATTGTATGAATTTGTTCTGCAAATGGTCAAAACACAAAAAATACACGGACATATAGTTTATTTTGCATTTCCTGCTATGCCATTAACTCCTTTTTCCAAAAATCCATATAAGAAAAAAAGTTTAATACAGGAAATTTTTGACTTCTCAGAGGTGTACATCCTTAAGCTATAGGTTGAAAAAACAGTAGGACAGTTTCCGTATGTACGTATGTTACACTCTTTGTTATCGCTCTATCAACTTCATTACTGAACGAAATTTCATGAAACTTGATACAAGTGGTTGGTATGGCAATGCATTGAGCAAGTTTGCGTTTCAGGTAACTGCGTTAAAGGTCACGGTCAATTTTATTAACTTTTTCATTACTCTAGCGACTACATTTCCTCTTACACATGTAACAATGTGTGAATACGAGGGGATTAGCTTTTGTCTGTGTCAAATATTTGTTGTTGTCATGAATAACTAATTAAAGAAATGTGAAATATTGAGGAGGAAGAAAACTAGCATGTTTATTTATTTGTGTGCATGTGAATTTGTTTTTATGTGATGTTCGTGTTTATGTCATAATTGTTTATATGTTATATTTTTGAAAAATAAACTATTATAAAAAAGTTTGTCTACACCAAACCTCAAGTATCCTGTACTTTGGATATAACTTGTCTTGAAAGTGGGGTATACATTAAATTGCTTGTTTCGTTAGTAAAAGTGGCAGGTAATTGGGAAAGATTGTGTCTTAGAAGGATTGAATAGCTTCAATATTAATTATCAATACAGGTTTCTGGTGTTTCTTCTATGAAACGTATGTTCGTTTCATATATTAGGGTATTCGATGCTTAATCCAGAGGAAATTCGTAGCCTACATCAATTACTGGGGCTAGTAAGCTTCCGAAGTTCTCGGTTCGTTTAACAGTGTAATTTGACAAAAAAGTACACAATTGCTGAACCATTGATAACTTTAATGAGAGTAGCTGTGGGAACCGTAGCTTCTAGGTCCCCGATGGTATTTTTTTTTTTTTTATTTTATTTTTATTATTATTATTGGACCATGATGCAAAATTTCAGAGTAAAATATCAAATATTTGTGACTATGACACTGGATTTAAAACAAACGACGCCATCACGTATCTATCACAAGGGGTACAACAAGTTCACGTAGGAAGAAAAAAAACATATTCTGGAATTCCATCATAGCTGTCTTTTTTAATACCTACTATAACCTGTTTTTCTTTTTTATTTCTTTTTCTTTAAAAACAAGTATCATTCGTTTTATTGTCTCGTCGCGACGGAGAAGCGAAAGTGAGACTAAGATGTTGCTTTTCCAGCGACGGCGTCAATCATTGCTTTTAGTTCAACGTTAAGTTTTCGTTATATGCTTCTTAATCAGTTTATAATGGCATTAGGGTGTCGAAAATTTGCTTGAAGGTTCTTTTGGAGTCTACTTTTCATACTAAGAGGTCAAAGTGGGTTTTGATTTTTTCATTTTTTTCATTATTTTTACATATTTTTAGCCAAAAACATAGAATTTTGGATGATTTTTAGAATTGGACATACCTTCTTTGATAGTGTTAGAAATACTTCAAATTTTATACACACCTTCAGTATACACAGTACTTCAACATATAGTATGGGTTTTTGCTCAAATGACCACAACAATCTTTTGGGCAGAAAGTATAAAATTATGGGTGATTTTGAGAAATGGACATAACTTCTTTAATAATTCTCAGATTTGCTTCCAATGTTATACACACCTACAGTATACATAGTACTTCAAGTTACTATAGGTTCTTTTTTGCTCAAATGACCACAACAATTTTTTGAGCAGAAAATATAACATTTTTGGGTGATTTTGAGAATTGTTCTTTAATATCTTTTAGATTTACTTCAAATTCCATACACACCTTCAATATACACAGTACTTCAACATATAATACAAGTTTCTTTCTCAGATGACCATATCCATTTTTGTTCTTAGATCAGTAGGTAATGCGGTGTATAACCCATTGCGGGTCAGAAACAGAGATTTGAAATGCTTGGCTCCATTTGTATATCGGGTCAGAAACAGAGATTTGAAATACTTGGCTCCATTTCTTGGGCAGAATTTCAGAATTGGACATAATTTATTTACTAATTGTCAGATTTAGTTTGATTTTTATACACACCTTAAGCATTTACAGTAATTAAACATATTTACTTTCAGAGACATTTCGTTGCACATATTTACCAGTACATATTAGCTACACCTATGAATGCAGTTTTCATGTGTGTATGTGATAAAAGCGGAATATATGTACCGGTACCGCTTTATTTATTTTTCGAGAAGGTGCTTTCTTACTCATTAGATCCAGTGGTAAAACATGTATTCGCAGCCTACCACATGGTAATGAAGATTCTCCTCTCTGACGGAACTTATTTGAAAATGCTTTAAGCATAAATTGTGTGTGAAAACGGGTAACGGCGAGACATATAAATACGCGTAATTCTTGTTGATTCATTCCTTTCTTACCTTGGGTAAATATGTGGTATTTTTACTACAACAACAATGATAATAATATTAAAGGAATAATTTATTTTTGTAAGAATATGATGTTATGATTCCAGTTGAGCACAAGAAAGTTGAGTTTATGGCGAACGACCTTGTAGCCTTAAAATCATGTATGTTTCGAAACGAATGGATGTTTGTTCATTGTTCATTTTAAGTTATTTTTCGACTTCAATCATCTGGAATGAATGCGTATCATTGTAGACAATTACAGCCTAAGTATCAATTCATTGGAATACTGCACTGCCTTTTGTTTATGTATACTGCAATTTAGGTTTTACGTTAGGAATGCCATAAGTTTGTATACCTTTAACTATCTATGTGTTCATTGTTCAGCTGTTGTTCTTGATTTCCTCAATAATCTTAAATACACAAACATCAGAATTACGTTGATAATTAATACACCAGCCTTCCCCAAGTTTAGGAAACAAAACCAAATCGGGGAGACCTCTTCCATCATGTATCCGAATAACAGCGGACTTGATAATGCTCCAACGAACCCTATCAGCAGGAGGAATGCAGACATCTTACCTCGGACTGAAATTAAATTCTCGTTTGTCCAGCTCAACAGACTCGGCCATATGAGACTAAGAACAGTACCAATGATACATACAGATATCCATATTCCCGTATCAGAGAGTACAACCCCACTGGCAGCAAATCCAAATAATGCCACGGCATGCAATAGAGACGAAAGAACAAGCATCTTCATGGGTTTGAAGAAATGGGACAAATACGCACCGACTATTCTTCCAAAGAGCATCGTGAGAAACAATACTGACGTCAACAATGCTCCAGAAGTCTTTGTCCATCGTAGCTGTTGAACACAGAAAGCAGTCAAATATCCACTGAATGTAAAGTTCAAAGACATGTAAAACATTGCAAACACTCCAATGTTTACTAGTTGAAGCCGTTTGATGCTTAGGGACAAATTGCCAATAAAATTGGACTCTTCACTAGCACGTCCCTTGTTATCGTGCTTTGACGTTTTAAAATATATCACAACGAACGGTAGTGTTGACAACAAAGCCAACCCGGCTGATATAGAAAACGCGATATAAACGTTGGATGCAGGCATTTCAGTTTGCGCAATGTGTGACTGTAGAATAGCATTGTGCTTTGAAATATTTCCTTCTGTTATAAAACTGTTCGTTGTGTTTACAATGTTGTCCGATGAGTTCTGTGTGGCAATGGGTGAGGCGACGTCATTCGAACTCGGTGACAGGAATGGAAACGTAGCCATCGGTGCTAGAAGACCTGTCGGACAAATAGCGGCCATATACATGTTTAGATACACCCTACCTCGTACCGAGGCTCCCCATATTGACACTGCAACGGCCGTCAAAACTGAAAAGAAAAGAAATATATTGAATCACATGGCAGTCAATAAATACATGATATTCATTGAGCTTGTGTTATTTCGTCTGCATCAGTTTCTGATCAAACTTTCAGATCAAACTTGAAAAAAAAATCATTTTAATTAATACATCTTAACATTCAACTGACTTAATAGGTATATAAAGTGTTTCTGAAAATAAAATCCATACAAAGGTCGAGTGTTCGAGTGGTTTGGTCCTAACTTGTCTTTACTATTGTAAAAACTAGAATATTTGCACCACATGCATGTGGTTCCAAACTACATGTCATCCGTCAAATACGTAGAACACTAACCATCTTCTAACAGTCTATCATTAGAACAATGGCATTTGTAAGAATGATTTATTCAAACTAGGGTTGTCAAATTTTGGTAACCGGTTACTCGAAAAATATTCCGATCGAGTAACCGATTAGTAATCGGCCAGTTCGGTAATCAAACAATAAACAATCAATAAATAGATTATATGTTAAGTTAATTTAGAATTAAATTAGATTTCTCTCTTGCAAAGTTGACATTTCACAACTTTGTATTCTGGCTCTCTTTTAAAATATGTTGAGTCTGTTTTCAAGGGCTCGCTACAGATATCATGACTAATCAACATAAGATAAAGATTTATGCAGTGATATAAAATCTGACAAACTGACAGTCGATCATCGCCATATTTGCCCGTCTACAAGAGAAATGCCTATACTATGTCATCAGTTTTATAAAGAAATTCATATAATCTAATAATGATAATAGTTCAAGGTTCTTATACACCGCTTTGAGAGACCTTTAAACGAGGTTGTGACAAAACGGTATATAAGAACCTCACAAATTATTATCCGTGGTTATAGGGCCTTTGCAAACAGCCAATATCTTTCTTTTAATTCCCTGGGGAGCATACAGCCAGAGCTACCATTTCGGCACTAACAGGTAGCATTCAACAATTCTAGCACTGCCCAACCACGTACTCATTTACAGCTGAGTAGATTGGAACAAACGGAGTACAGTATCTTGTTCAAAGATACAGCACAGTGCCGTATTCAATATACAAGGTAGTAGACTCTGATGGTGGATGTACCTTATAGCCACAATTATCTCTTTCGGTTAGTTGCACTGTTCATAATATACACACTCTACCCATAATTGATTTTAACTGCTTCACCCCTGAAATTGTATAATGAACTATTACAACCTTTGAGTTGGGAATGAGTTAAACTAACAAGTATTTCTCTAATTTTCTCTGAAATTCATATAAATCATGAGAGTTCACGCACCCCATCAGTCTAAAAGATAGTTTATACCAACTGGTATTTCCACCTTTTTGGCTCCTATCATCCCCGATGAGTGATAAAGGGACGAAACAGCTACACATATGGTGCAGTGTAATTCCTATTTAGCATACTGTATACTGTTTCATCTTTAAAACATCTGAACATTTCATGACTATATCATCATCTTACCTACATTCATCACTCCGTTACAAAGGCCTTGAATGACATGCGCAGTAACCATGAGTTCATACTGAGCACACCAAGGAATAAGGGCAAGCGTAACACCGTTTATAGACATAGACACGACTAGTATCAGGTATCTGTTCATTCTAGAGTAAAGGGATCCTCCTAGGATTGATCCTACCGCACGACCTGTGTAGTATGACGTCATAAAAGCGGATCCCCTTTCCAGGTCTGTGTTGGAAATGTACAGAATGTCTAGAAATGCTGGTCCGATCTGGCCTTTGATCCATCCCTGGTGAAATAAACATTGGTCCTTATTTTCATAATCGAAGTTGAAATTAATTTTTCCTCAGTTATATTTTTAAGAAATGTCTTATAAATGGGGAGTAAAGCTACCATATTATGATGTAAAAGTAATGAAGATTGTTTGTAGATATTTTCTCGCATTCGATACCCTGTAATCAATGGTGTTAAGGATGTTAAGTTTGTACATATGTTGTAAATAAGCAGCTCTCGATTGAGAAAATTACAACATTAATACTCAAAGAAATTGAATTAAAAAATATCATGAAACAATTCGAACACGTCAATATATATTAAGGACGAGACTGTAATGTTATTATATAGGAAAAGGAAACAGAAATGCTATGTTTTCAATATAGTTTTCAATAAAATTACACACTTTTTTAACTGTTTAAACAACTATATATTAAGTCGTTTTCATATCAATATCATACATATACTATGACAAAACTGTTTTCATAGAGAAAACGAAATTGTATCAAAGAGTAGGCAAAAAAAATGTTTTTCCCCCCGCGATCTTTGTATTTGTGATAATCGAATAATTATCGCCGCAAAATACAAATATCGAAAAGAGAATGAAGAAATCTTAGAATTATTTATCAATGCACTCTACATTTAGTGACAATACTTAAGACAATAATCATACGTTATACATACCAGCATGGAATTGGCGAGGGCAACACAAATGCTAAGTATGACCTTGAATTGGGTGTCCGTGTTATGTCGAAGTTCTGTAAGAAATGATTGCTTGTCGTCCATGTCGACTTTTTTAATAGAAGTTTCTTCATCTCTATCTTCCACATCGACATCCCGAAGTGGATTTAAAATCTCGAGTTCTGAACAACTGACATCCAAACCTTTTCTTTCGGTGTCCGTCATTTTTCGTCTGTTTTACTATGAATAAATTTTCACATTTTACACGTACTAGTATCGTTGTCACATGTGTTGTACTCATTACAATTTTACTGCAGCAGCTTGAAAGCACAAGAAGTAGCCATTCCATATGTTTTTAAGTGTATATTTATACACTATTTTTACGTAATAATATAATCATTTCCGGCTTCAAGGGTGTAACAGAGAAAAAAACAACCTTCGGCAGAGCCTCGGTTTAGACAACAAAATGTCATCCCTCATTCTAAATGTAACAAACTTGGAAATAAAGTGGCGTAGGTAGAAAGCTAAATAAATTTACATAAACCACAATGACATACCAATCCCAAAAACATCAAGCAATTGTACGTTCAATATATTCTAATCAATACAACTACAATAACTGCTTTTATTGATTAACTGATGATCTTGAAAATCATGAAACCAGTTTCTTATAACAATATGAATTCATAGCAAAGATGGCTCATAAGTCTGAAAACCTATTTGAAAGAGGTGCATGAGTTATAAGCAGTATCTCAAATTGTTACAAAGATATAAGTAAATAACATCTATGTCTGATGCTTCATACTTATATTGTATTGCATGCATTTTGCTTTATCATGATCGTGTTTACTTACCTTTAATTGTTGAGACCAACAATCTTCTACAGTGATAAGAATGTTTTCAATGTAAATGTACACAGGATAAGTAAAATGTAAGTGACTTTACTTTTAACCTGAAACGTCAGGGTGATCTTTCAGTCAGTGACTTCACATGTATAATCCATATGCAAACACTTAGTTTAAGTAATATATGTTATTTTAACGTCAATTAATCCATTTTCACGATCACAATTTGTATAGTAAGGATACGAAAACAAGCTTTAAGCTTATACTAATTATTTAACCACTGTTGACCGACCAGCAACAATTAGACTACAAAATCTAACAAACTCATCTAAATACGTCTTATTCACGCTCACAGTCTCTCATATCCATTTCAGTAATATGCAAAGTCATGCTCTCGCATATAAAATATTCTGTTATGTTGGTATGGTTATTAGACACAATTAACTGTTAGTTACTCTTGAAAATATACAAAACTTGGCGTATTATGCATTTATTGCAATAATTACATACATTGACGCATTCACCTCTGGACACATTTGAACTCTTCTAATTCGAAAGTTGGAATAATTCATTAAGAAATTTTAGGGTTGAATGAGTTAGGAAAGCTCTATGTAAGCGAATATAATAATAATAATAATAATAATAATAATAATAATAATTCTTTATTTAAAGAGGATACATGACTTACCAATACAAGCTAATACACATTTTCAGTCATGTCCTCATTCATTTCATTCATTCGTCTGAATAATTCATTCATTCATGCATTCATTTAATTCATACAATTAATGTATTCATTTCTTCAAATAATTCATTCATTCATTCATCATTTCATTCATTCATTCATTCATTCATTCATTCATTCATTCATTTATTAATCAATTAGTTCATTCAGTCACTAATGAAATAATTTATTCATTACAAGTTCATTTAGACAATCATTGAGTCATTCATTGTGTATTACAATACGAAATACATCTTAATTGCTACATTTACATCTCGATGTAAACATTATAATACATTGATCCAGTTGACAATAAAGAAAGAAAGACGGTATGAACAGTATCCTGTACAATTTTCAATAAAACAGCTTGAATTAGTCTTGCGTCATAAAATGTTGTTTGCATTGCTGTTTTAAAATAATCGAAAGATGTGCAATTTTTGACTTGAGTTGGAATTAAGGTCCAAATGTTAAACAGCGGAGTAGAAAAATGACATTTTAAACTGTTCAGTCTTGTGAACTGGAATAGTTAAATTTCCGTTGTCAACAGATCTTGTGTAATAGTTTTGACTGACTGGAAAATTGCATAAAAAAATCTGACAAATTTTGTATAATAAAACAGAATTGATATGGAACGCCATTGCAAATACCGCCAATGACATGCGCAGTGACCATGAGTTCGTACAGAGCACACTGTAACGTTTACAGACTGCGTTTAGCAGTAATAATTGAAGAGAATCCAGAGACACTGGAAACGTGTTTCAAGCCGCCATGTTTATTCAAGAACCTTCTAAGTTACAGAGACGCTTGAAGCGTAACATTATCAAGGGGAACAACGTTTGATGCCTTGGAGGCTTATGCATACATTACATCCCCTTTACTTTAAGAAGAAAAGTAATATGATGTACACCATATGTCATCAGTTATAATCTACTTATCAGAACATATCCATGTGAAGTACAGTGTATTACTAACAATTAAATGAACTTATGTAATAAAGAATTTTTGAGACATAATAAAATTTGCAGAGTTCTTTTTTTGTTTGTTTGTGTTTTAGCACAGTCTGTGATAACCTATCCAACTTATCAGTCTCTAAAACTGTGGTTACTTTGTAGATATTAATATCAAGAGAAATAATGAAATTTTACATAACAA